CCCCACCCTTTCCCTTCCCCGCTGCTGGTGTGTCTAGGAATTCTGGGCTTCTGTTCCTTCCTATAGCTTCTGCCACCTGCCCTTGTGCTGGGGGTGGACTGGCACTGCCTCCAGTGTCTGAGGACTTCATGAGTGACTGCATGGCATGTGTCCTGCCTCGGCTGCTCACAAGATTGGATAGCCTCTGTAGAGGAACCAGTGAATGCTGTAATGACCTTCCAATTGGCTCATCATTGGGATGTAAGCCTGGGACCATCAGTGCTAAATGCTTTATCCTCCCTTCCTAGATCTAAAGGAGTAACTCTTCTCGCTGGTTGTAGTAGTAGTAGTACTGTTACCTTCATATAAGAATCATCCACAAGATGTCACCAAAGCTATTGTTCTTGAGTGGATAACACTGGGGTTTGCTAGAGAGTGGCACTGGACATTTCACTTCCAAAAGGATGGACACCAAAGGAGGGCAGTAGGGAGCATCACTCCTCAGGGGTCGTAGCATGCTCCTAGTCTTAGTAAACACTGCAACCAATCTGGGAGGATCTACTCTGATTTCTACACAAATCCCCTCTCTGCTGCTGGAGTGCCACCAATGCCTGTCAGGAGCCTATGCAGCAGTCATGAACATTATGTGATATTGCAGTGTCCAATGGTGGAATTCCCATCTTGGCCCTGCCCTCGTTTGCAAAGAGACTGGCACAGGGGTGAACAAAATACGGCCATTCTATCTGGCCTACGGGGCCCCTAAAAAATTTCAAAAATTAATATTTATTTGCTCCTAGATGCCTGTCAAAGATGACAGGACCCAGGGGCAGTAGGACCCAGAGGAAGCTGGTGGCAGGACCCAGCAGCAAGGCCTGCCCAGCCTTGCCCCCACAACCAGATTATTAGCAGTAAATACTGGCAACAGGTATAGACAGCTATACCTTGTACGGGAGAGATCATGTAGACAAAAGGGGCGGGGATATAGCTCTCTATGTCAAGGAAAGCTACACATTCCTGCAAGCTGACATTGGCATCCAGGGTGGATGACTGGAGACCCTCTGGGTTAAAATCCGTGGTGAACATGGCACAAGGGATACAATGATAGGAGTCTGCTACAGACCTCCTAACCAAGATCAAGAGCTCGACCAGGAATTCGCCAAGGAACTGGCTGAGGCTGCACACTCCTGGTGCATGGTTGTCATGGGAGACTTCAACTACCCAGGCATCTTGTGGGAAGAGCACTCAGACAAATCTGAATGATCACAAAGCTTCCTCATGTGCGTGGATGAGCTCTATCTGGCTCAAGAAGTCTGTGGACTGATGAGAGGCAAAGTGCTGCTCGACCTGGTACTAGCAACGGGGGATGATCTAATCAGTGACCTAATGATCAAAGGGAAGGTGGGAGACAGTGACCATGAGTTGATCACCTTCACCATCTGCCGTAAAGCTGGCAAGTCAGTCAGCAATGCAGAAGTCCATGACTTCAGGAAAGCTGATTTGACAAGCTCAGGAGGCTTGTTGGTGAGGCCCTAAGGGACCATGACCTGAAGGGGAGGGGAGTTCAGGATGAGTGGTTGCTCCTCAAAGGAGCAATCCTGAAAGCACAAGCAATGTCTATCCCATTTTGGAGGAAAAGCAGCAAAAGGGCACAGCAGCCCCCTTGCCTCTGCAGGGAACTTGTAGACCTCCTGCATCTAAAAACAAAGATCTATAAAGGATGGAAGACTGGATCCACCCCAAAGGAGGAGTATTGTGCACTGGTCCGGACCTGTAGGGAGTGAGCCAGGAAAGCCAAAGCTGCGACTGAACTCCAACTGGCTACACGTATCAAAGACAATAAAAAGTTCTTTTTTAGATATGTGGGGAGCCAGAGGAAAAGCAAGGGTAACATTGGGCCTCTGCTAAACCATATGGGACAACTGACAACCAACGCCCAGGAAAAAGCCAACCTGCTTAATGGGTATTTTGCGTCCATTTTTCACCAGCCCCAAGGGACAGCCCTGCTCAATACGGTACGGGACAGCCAGGGTGAGGGAGAATTGTTACCCTTTATCAATGTAGGCCATGTAAAGGAACACCTTGAGAGACTGGACAACTTCAAGTCAGCTGGCCTGGACAGTTTACACCCCAGGGTACTTACGGAGCTGCCAGGCATCATAGCTCACCCACTGGCACAGATCTTCAAAAACTCATGGTGCTCAGGTGAAGTGCCCAAAGACTGGAAGAAGGCCAATGTGTTACCTATCTTCAAGAACGAGAGGAAAGTAGATCCAGGGAACTACAGGCCTATCAGCCTGACCTCTATCCTAGGGAAGATCTTGGAAAAAATTATCAAAGAGAACATTCTTGACAAACTGGCTGATGGCAACATCCTGAGGGGTACCCAGCATGGGTTTGTTGCGGGTAGGTCTTGCCTGACCAATCTCATCTCCTTCTATGACCAGGTGACATATCACCTGGACAAGGGAGAGGAGATTGATGTCATATATCTTGATTTAAAAAAAGCTTTCGATCTGGTACCCCATGATCATCTCATGGAAAAATTGGCCAACTGCAGCCTCAGCTACATCACAGTCCGATGGCTGGGGAATTGGCTCCGAGGTCGGACCCAGAGAGTGGTAGTAGATGGAAGTAAATCATTGTGGTGCGCCGTGACCAGTGGTGTCCCCCAAGGCTCCGTCCTTGGGCCTATACTCTTTAACATCTTTATTAATGATGTAGACATTGGTACCAGAAGTGGACTGGCCAAGTTCACTGATGACACCAAACTTTGGGGTAAAGCATCCACACCTGAGGACAGGATGGTGATCCAGGCCGACCTAGACAGGCTCAGAAAATGGGTGGACAAAAACCTGATGGTGTTCAACACCGAAAAATGCAAGGTACTCCACCTTGGGGAAAAAAAAACCCACAGCACACTTATACGCTAGCTAGCACCATGCCCGAAAGGGACTTGGGGGTCATGATTGACCACAAGATGAATATGAGCCACCAATGCAATGTCACAGCTGGTAAAGTGAGCAAAACTCTGGCTTGCATCCATAGATGCTTCTCAAGCAAATCCCAGGATGTCATCTTCCCGCTTTACTTGGCCTTGGTGAGGCTGCAGCTGGAGTACTGCATCCAATTCTGGGCTCCACAATTTAAAAAGGATGTGGAGAAGCTTGAAAGAGTCCAGAGGAGAGCCACGCGCATGATCAGAGGCCAAGAGAACAGGCCTTATGATGAGAGGCTGAGAGCCATGGGACTCTTCAACCTGGAAAAGCACAGGCTCAGGGGGGACCTGGTGGCTGCCTATAAGTATATAAGGGGTGTGCATGAGGATCTGGGGGAACGCCTGTTCACCAGAGCGCCCCAAGGGATGACAAGATCAAACAGTTACAAACTCCTCCAAGACCATTTCAGGCTGGACATAAGGAAGAACTTCTTTACTGTCTGAGCCCCCAAGGCCTGGAACAGACTGCCTCCAGAGGTGGTGCAAGCACCTACTCTGGACTCCTTTAAGAGACATTTGGACATTTATCTTGCTTGGATCCTAGGGAAATCGATTCTGTGCCCAAAAGCAAAGCTGTGTATGTGCTGGAATCAGGAGTGGGGACTGCAGTGCTTGTAGACACCCCCACCCAAGCTTTCCTATACCTACCATGAGTAACTGGGCAGTGAAGACAGTGGAATGGGCTTCAGCCAACTGAGCAAGTACCTAGCATTTCTGGTGCGTTTGTGGCACTCATACTGTCACCTTTGCTCCCATGAGCATTGGCTGATGGAATCTAGTGAAATACCCCTTTGGCAAATGCAGTGTAAATTGGGCCCAATGGTACAGCACACAGATGTCTCATTTCCAATCATGCAGTGGCCCACTGCTAAAATCCAGCTCAAGCACAGCCCTACTGACTCCTTTTTATCATTGTATGGAGTCTCATATATGAGGTGTAACATCAGGGTCTGAACCCTGGGTGGCAGTAATGGCAGGGGCTGGGTCAGCTGTGGCAGCTGCTATTCTTGAACTCCATTTAAGAGTAGTGTAAGCTAGTGCCCCCATTACCCACTCTTGTTATACTACCAACTCCATTGCATCCATATACCTTGAACTTTCTCATGCCGTGATCATATGTATCCTGGAAGGCAGGGACACGCTACGGTTCTCATGTCATGGTGGGAAGCTGAAACAGAGAGGCTGCATGTTTTGCCCAAAGTTACACAGGAAGATTAAGGACTTAGACCTTGAGACCTGGTTTTAAGCTAGAACTGTAGCTGCTCGTCCACCTGAGACTTTTAACTTGCATGATGCTGCTTTATTCTTCTCCGGTGCCTTTTGCCCAAGAACCTCAGTGAATTACAAATGTTCTATGTTGGGTAGTTATAGAGCTCCAGTTGGCCCAGGTTCTTAACTCTTGATGGTCCTCCACCATGTGTGTTATGACTCCTTTAACAGATGGGGAAACTGAGGCACAGAATATGATGTGGCCTTGATGCACATGGCTGGCAGAACTGGGACTTGAGGCCATCACTATGTTGCTCACTCTATTCCCCAATCCATGTGTCAGGGGATAGAAACAGGCTCTTTTGTGATGCTGCCTGACTAAACCTGCAGCACAATCTGTCCCCGTCTCAGGGCCTGAATTTTAATCACCAGTTTTTTTTATCAAGTTCTGGCCTGCTGCCCCATTGAACTCAGCTTCCACACAATGCAGGAGGCTCTGATCACCAGCATGGGGGCAGAGGGTGGCGTGATCATGAGGATAGGGTGTGTGGAGAACTAGTTCAGTTATCCGAACACAAGCAAAGGAACGTTGGCTTTGTATTAACAGGTGAGAACTAGGAGCAGCTGGAAGCTGCAGCCAGAAACCCCAATAGAAATAAAAGTCTAAGCCTTGAGTCAAACACAAACAAGTGGCAGGCCTCAGAGCAGTCACCTTGCCTGGAGGAAGGCGACAGAAAACAGCAGAGCTGTTGGTTCAGTGAGACTCACTCAGGCAGCACTGAAGAGCCAGGAGACTGAGGCAGCCTTGCGGGGGGTCCTGACCGGAAGCAAAGGGCAGAGGCAGTTTCCAGCTGGCCGGGGGATTGCTGTTTGCCATGCAGTCCCTGCTGCAGAAATCTCCTTCTGTGCCAGGACGGGTGAGGGGAGATTGTGCTATGTGAGTAAAGGAAGAACTAACTGTATGGGGGGGCTCTACTGCCTCAGAGGCTTCATGCCTTCCCTCAAGGGTCCAAAGGAGGGACCCTCCTTTCCTCTGACTAGACAAAGCCCTAGATGTCTGCAAGAAGCCATCTCACAAAACAGCGCTGGTCGTAGAGATCCTTTTCTAAGCATAGGTTAGCACTGCAGTCAAGGGCAAAAGCAATGCACATTCCAGGCTGTCTAGGTCCCGTTCCCTCCAGATGAAGTCACTGTGATATGCTATGTAGAGCAACCCTGGGACTATTTGGTGTCCTCAGTTCACGGATAAAAACCGCTAGTCTCTGTGGGCCGCCACTGGGTGGGCGGCCGGCATGTTCCGACATCCACTGGATCTGTGTCAAGGAGCAGGTCCAGCCGTGGTCTTTCTGATGTCTCTAAAATCTAGGCGCTGCCACTGGGTTTTGGCAGCCAGCGCCTTAAAAACACCAACTGATTCCTGGGGACAACAAAAAAGAAAACAGGGCGTGCATGTGCAAGGTCATAGGGCCAAAACAAGTGGGGGGACACCAAGCAGAGCACCCCAGGGAAGCTGCAGGCTGGGGAAGAACACGGCTGCCTTGTTGCCTCGTGGCTAGCCTGTTTGTTCCACCTCTGCTTCAAGGGCACCCCTGGCTGCTGGCCCTTCTGTGGGTACAGGTCCAGGGGATGGGTCTGAGCTGGGCTTTATGCAGTGAGTAACCTGGGTGACACTGCTCTGCTTGTGCTGGACATCCCATGAAGTCAAAATAACTGGTCTGCATAGCACCCAGCACAATTGGGCCCTGATTCTGTCTTGGGGCAGGACTCTCATAGTAATGATGCTTGATCAACAGTTCCTTGATTCCCACATCTGGGCTTGGAGATTCGGTGCTTTTAGGATGGTCAGGGTTGCATCCAGACTGTTCTTTGCCTTGCTCAACAAGCATCTCTAGCTGCAAGAGCATTGTAGATTGTCCGGATGCAAAGGTAGTGGCTGTGTTTTGCTTGTAAAGCAGGCAGCTGCTTTTGTGATTTCTCTTGTCATTGGCTCTGCCTGCTGTGACCCTCACCTTCCCCTACCACTCACTCCTCACCAGACCCCTGCGGGGATAGGGCTTATCCACAGGCCCAGAACCAAGCACCTGCACCTGATGGAACTCAAACCAGAGCTTTGAGAAGAATAAACTGATCTTGTAATTGGGCTGGGCCCACATGCCTTGAGGCAGGACAAGCTCTGTTGCCCCCCTCCCCAGTGGAGCAGCAGAGTGAAATTGGGATGAGCTGTGGAGTAGCAGACACTGAATATTTGACATGTGGGAAATACCTCTCTCCTCCCTGCCCATCACTTAACCCCTAATCCACCAGGCTCCCAGCTCCCACTGTCCTCATGTTATCTATCTACCTAGCCATCTGTTGGTTTGTCTGCTGCCTGTCTATCTCATCTACATACAGTGCAGTTTCTTTCTGTCCTTCTTCTCCCATCCCATATTTTTACAGACCACCTGCCTGCAATCTAAGATGGGAGGAAACAGAAGGATTTTGTGAAAGTCAATTTATTCCAAAGTTGGAAGAAAATTATGGGTGTGACTTGTGCTCCCTTTTGTTCCTTGCTAACAAGGAGACTTTAAATGCAGTGCCCTTTTCCTGCGGTCTGAGACATGCCAGAGAAAGCCTTCTTTCCAGTTACTCCCAGCAGTCACAGCCCAGATAACAGCTTCAGCAACCTGGAGCACATGTCAAAAACAGTTGCAAATTCTTCAGGCAAATGCATATCATTTTAAACAAAGGACTTTTTTTCTCTTGCATAGCTCTGCCAATACACATCAGTCCAGATTTGCCACCCTCCCTCCCCACCCTGTGTGCCCACACACAGCTCTGCTGATTATAGTTAATCCCAACCCTACAGCCCACCCTGCTGTCCTAGTGCTGGGCTCCCCACACGCAGTACTGATGGTGTCCTGCACTCTCACCCCCAGTCCCCTGCCCTCTCATTCTTGTACTCCTCCTCCCCTAGATGTATCGGTACCCCTCACTCCCACCTCACAGCCCCAGTCTGGGACTCTACCCACATACTGTCCTGCAGATGCCCTTCAGTTCTCCTTTGCTGCCTTCCTGCTATTCCAGTGCACAGAGGTTCCACTAATGACCCCAAAATGAGCACTCCTATGGACCTTGCCAGGATTAGCACATGTGAATGCTCCTCCAGGTGGAACCGCAAGGAAGGGTGAGCTGGAGATCTTCAGCAGGGGGTGCTGGAAGAGCTGGGTGAGCTGTCTGGTCCAGGCTGCTGAGATAGCATCAATGTACCTTGTAGAAGTTTGTGTAGATCCCAGGGCTGGGATCTGAGGCATAGAGAGGGACGGCCAGGGAGACCCAGCTGCCCATGGCCCAACTGCTACAGAGCCACCGAAATGATCAACCACATCCTCTGGCTCTGCACCTCGCCAAGGAGGTAAGGAACAGGGTGAAGCAGCTCTGCGAGGCGGTTACCACTGTCAGCCCGCTGACCAGAGAAGCAGCGCTGTATGGACACCTCGCCAAACACCAGGGGAACTCTTTGGCCTGTTTTGACCAGTTTGCATCCTGCATCAGGAGCACCCTGTGGAAAGCCAGGAACCTCCTGATGTACAGGCATACAGATATAGAGGTGGTAGACTGTGTGAAAATGGCTCTGAGCGAACTCCAGACCTACTACCGGAAATCAGTAGTAGAGGATGGAGAGGATGTAACCAAATTCACCTAGCACAGAGACACTTGGCATAGGATCTTCCAACTCCCACCAGCAGGGAAGGGGGCTGTGACAGCAAGGAAGAGGAAGAGACAAATGGGACTCAGGATAGCGACAGCAGTAGCGAGTCCTCCAGCAGGAGCTGGAGTGACAGCAACATGGACAACAGGTGAACTGAGTCTGTGACCCCACAATGTGGGGTGACATCTTCTATGCCATATGTCACCATAATATCTCAGTACCTTCAGATAGTGTGAGTGGTGGCACAACTTGCATCTGTCCTGTTTGCTAGGGTCCCTGCTGCATCTGTTTTTGGCTGTGTCATGCATGCTTACTGAGCCTCTTGGAGTTTACCAACTGATTGGCATGAGTGCTGCCAGATCCTTCACTGCCACAGATCCAGATCCCAGGGAATGAATGCTACCTGTGCTTGCCCCCACTTTTTTACTACTGCTAAGTTTGGTGGTGGCCAAAGGGGTGGGGCATGAGTGGCAATGGCATTCACCCCTGGGTTTCACTGGCAGCCACACTGAGGATCTGGTGAGCTCAGAGCTTAGGGAGCATGCGCTGCACAAAGGAAGGGGGTATGGCCACACCCACTTTGCACCTCCCCTCTGTCTGTCCATGAACTTAAGCAAAGTGGCCCAGGGAAAGACCTACTGGAGGTGTCCCAAGTCTCTTGGGCATGTGGTAATAATATCACCATTGGACACCTGTAAAACTGGGTTAAGGAGAAGACGAAGAAGCTGGTCACCTCACCTGGGAGGGTGTGTCTTCTCAGTTCACAGCTGCCAACTACATGTCTAAGCAGCCTGATTGGCCCTAACTGACAGTGCTTTCTTGTTTTAGCAGCTCTGATACTTTTTAAGTACCAGGTTTCTCATCTTAGCTTAGCTGAGAGCTATAGTTAGGAGCAAGGCAGTACATCCCCACCCTGTGAACCACATGGCACTAAGTTCAGTTTCTCTGGTCTATGATACACACTGTATCCAGACAAAATTGCACTATTAGAAATGCAGAATCACTGCAATGCTTTCAGTGGAAAGACTTGAGATGGACCCTGGGCATGTACCTGCCCTATGTTTTCAGTTGTAGAAGTCTTTTATTTTTTAATCTATTTACTTAACAGGTGGAGAGGAACTGCCTTCACAGATCAAGGGCATGTGCCCTGCTAAAGGATTGGGAGCCAATTGTGATCAAGTTCTTAGGGGAGGGAAGGGGGCAGAGTCCTGCAGCTTCCCACTGATTGGTTGCCAATGAGAGGGCTTTCATAACCCCAGGTGGGGAGCCTGAGAGAGCAGGCTCTGGAGCTGGGCTGGGGGCATCCTGTGAAGAGGGAGGCCATGTGGATGGGTTCTGCTCCAATCTTTCCTCCCCTCCCCTCCCCTCCCCTCCCCTCCTGCCAGGCATGTGTGCCAGCCAGTGTCTGATGTCAGAGGTGACCATGGTAACTCATTATATTCCCAGATATAGTAATTTGCTGGATCACCAGGTATGTTACACAATCAGATGGCCAAGGAGCTCTGATGGAAGCTCCACGCTGCCTGGATTGTATAATTGCTTGGGTGAGTTCCTACAGTGTGGAAGCGAAGTCTGTCCTTATGTGATACCAGCCAATTGCCGGTCAAGAATGACAGGGGGTGGAGCTGGGGGGAGGGGTCTGGGATGGAGTGCTGCCACCTAACCCTCCATGCTGCTGCTGTTCTGCCTCTTGCAGGGAGAGGGGTGGAGGAGCCAAGACGCTCCCCCACCCTCTGTCCGGCCCTCGGAGTGGCTTCGGAATCATAGCCACACTCCCCCACGCTTAGAGCACTCTGGTTGGCTGTTTCTGTCAGCCAATCAGAGTGCGAATAAAGCATTCTGGACAGACAGACAGACAGACTAGGCTTTTACAATATTAGAATTGTCTGGATAGTCTGAGTCAGGCAGGAAAGTCGTCCTGTGAGCACACATATACCTTACAGCACCATGACTTCAGTTCAGGATTTGTGACCTTGCATTAAGTTCTACTAGAGGCCCTAAAGTGAGCTGCCACCATACCACTGGTTAGACATATAGAGATACAGAGAAAGGCTCTGCCCATCTCCTTAAGTGCTGAAACAGGGCCCTATGGTCTCCATTATAAGGAAGAGAGGGAAGGGCCCTTTCAGAGGGATAAAACAGACAGGGAGGCACTGCCCTCCAGCAGCTGGGGGCAAAATTGCTCAAGTTTCAGAGGACAGCAGAGCTTGTGGAAGAGAAGCCTAGACCAAGGGAGCAGACAGTGTGAGTAGCCTTGGGGAAAGGCTAGAGTGAAGATACCCAACTAGGTCCAAGCAGGCTAGAAGTCAGGTTGCAACTAGTTAGGGCTTATTTGAAGGATTAAGGGCTGATTTAGGAAGAGGCTGGTGCTGGGAAGGACCTGCTAAGGGGGGGGGAAAGATAGAAATGAGCCCTGCAAAGATGACAAGCAAACCCAAGAGGACATTGCAGGGGTGGGCTGGCTGCTAAGCTGTAAGAGACCACACACCAGAAGAACAAGAAGTCTCTGCTGTGTGAGTTGCTTTGCCCATTTAGCAAAGGCTTAGCCTCTAGGGACCTGCCTACTGATTTAACATCTAGATGTGGCAGGTGAGTCAACTGGGGAAACTGAGAAGGAGAAGAAGGCCTGGTTTGTACCAGGACCTCAAGGACTGCAGTTTGCTTGGAGAAGGGGGCAGCAGTGGGTGGTCACAGTGCTCAGAAACAAGGTCTGTGGAAACCTTTGGCACTGTTGGGAAGGAGATGTGAACACTATGTGGTTATGTAATATATGAAATTACTCACCTCCTAGCAGGAGGATTGGTCAATGCCAGCATCCCGGACCCATGTTAGGCTGCTGGGTGGTCCAAGCATGATGAAATGAGGATCCTGCCCTGGCTCCCCCTGACTCTTTGCATCATATAAGCCTTCACTTGTGCTCAGTGGTACGCAGCCCCAGCTGAGAGATCCAGGACCAGCTGGGTAGTAGCCACTCCAGCTCAGAGTCACATTGGCAATGGGGACAGCTGCTTGTGCTGGATATTTTCTGGGGACACAGAGGCCTCCATTATTCTGTGATGAGCTGACCCTTCTCCCCGGTATAACTCACTCGCTTCCTTTTGTGTTTCCTTTTTAATTCATTTGCCTCGTGGAGCATAATAGATGCTTTATCCTCCTTCACCATGACTGGATTATGACTGATCGGTTTCTGTGCTGTATTCTGCATCCTGGGACTGCCAGTCACCTCAGTGGAGACCATGGCTTGTGTAGAGAGACCACAGGCCTGGCACTGCCACTGAGGGCTGGTGTTGGAGGCTTTTCCCATGGGTCCCAAAAACTTAGTGTTGGAAGAGGCTACATGTAATCTTGGCTGCAAAGCATATCAGTTTCTGTCTCTGGAGAGGCAGATCAAGCAGAACGAGTACAAAGGCTGATACTTCCAGCTCATGAGATCATGTGCCCTGAACTGTAGCATCCCCTTTGGGATCTGAATTCCTTCCCCCCCCCCCCCCCCCGGGCTGGGTCAGAGCCTCTCCAAGATATTTAGATTATAAGAAAAGCAAGCATGTGGTTAAGGACAGCTAGCCAGTATAGGATATTCTCACACATGCAGAGAATAGTTGCAGAACATGCTGGATGCCCAGATGGACACTGTGCAGGATCTCAACACTGAAAGAAGCACACTGTAGACTCCTTGGAAGGATGGCTGGATGGACATGATTAGTCTATCAATCCAGTTTAGTGACACATGAGTAACCCATAAATTCATCCAAATAGACAAAAAATGTATTACAGGTCTATAACCAAGAGATGACACCAATGGTCTCAATACATGAATTCCTTCATGGCCACAGCATTATCTGAGAAACATTCCTCCCCATATCTGGCCTTAGGGAAAATGATGCCCTCGGTGAACTTGTATTTTGGTACCCCCCTTCACCCTCCCCTCAACTCAACAGTGCTGCTGCAGGGAAAGACAGGCAGGCAGGGGCACGGGGCATGGGGCACAGTCCAGCAGGGAGGCGGAGCAACATGGAGTGCCAGGCAGGTGGGTGGGCAGGCACTATTGCTGCTGTGCAGGAGCAAGGTGAGCAGACTGGAGCAGGTGCAACCCTGCCCACATGTGCCCGGCCCAGCTTCTCCTGAGCAGCGGCTGGAGACAGGAGATGGGTTGGACTGGGCACTGCTCCTCCTGCATGGGGTGGGAGGAGAGCGCTGCTGTGAGCGCAGGCTGCGTGTGTGTATGTGTGTACGTATGTGTGTGTGTGTGTGTGTGGCACCCCCCTGATAATGGTGGACTGGGTCGCCCATGTCGCCTACCCCTAAGACTGGCTCTGCCCCTCCCTCCACAGCTACAGCCTCCCCAAAGCTATGTTCCACCTTCACAAGTAAAGTGCCAATTGTGTGGGGAGGTGCATGATTGCTCATAGGAGTTGGACCTAGGCTGTGGACCTTGCTGCCACTAGAGAAAAAAAGTAAGCACAAACCTCTTTAGTTTAGAGCCAAATGCAAACTATGTTTCCTGAGGTAAGCTTTTGTTATGTGCACACAGACAGTCCCCAACGCACACACGATATAATCAGTTCTCACTCTGTTACGCACATTGTACCTGACCCTGCTTGTGCATACATATGCAAAAATAAACTGTCTCAATGAGTTATCCTCTCCTGCAGGATGGGAAGGAAGAGGGAAGGATTCCTGTGTTAGTTACAGGTTTAAACACTTGGCAGGCAGTCTGTTAATATGAGTCAGAAGAGTAACAGTGATGGCAATACTTTGCTCTCATGAAGCATTTATCTTTAGTAGATCTCAAGATGCTTTACAAATTAAGTCAATACCTCCTTTTCCATTTTACAGATGAGGAAACAAGGCTCAGAGAAGTGAAGAACCTGGACGGATGGGTGTATGGATGTGTGCCTGCTAGAGGTATGAGTGAACTCAATCAATCAGTCTATTATGAAATCATTCTTACAAAGGAGCTTATCACCTCCTGGTGCTTAACTTACAAATTACAAAATTGTTGTGCTGAAAGTGGCAGTTGGTTGCCATCAGTGGGAGCTTTTCTATCTGCAAGCAGTCACAGACCTTCTTAAAGCCAATGGCTTTGCCTGCCACTCCCTTCAAGTAGTGTAGTAAAAGAGCTGTAGGCAGTGAGGACCACTGCCCAGGGCACTAAGCTGCATGGCAAGTTAGAGCTGAAACACTTGGCTTATGGGGCTTTCATGGTTACAAATGTAGGAACTAGGACATATGGGTCGATTCAGTTGTCTGTCCTGGAGGCAGAGAAAGGCAGAAGTTGTATGCATGACTGTGAGAAAAGCAAACAGAATGATGCAGCTTCTCGGGCATGGAGTGTATTGGAGAGTCAGATGAGGGGTTTGTGAGCAAGGCCATTGCTGTTGCTGTTTGATTCCACTGCATTTAGCACCCCAAGCAAAGTTGGCATGAAGTGGTGCCCAGCTGGGGTATGCACATACAAGAACAAGCAGTCTCCACGCTTAAGTGCTTGCAGTCTTGTCCAAGACAGTAGGAGCTGAGGCCAGAGCTCAGAACCAAATGATATGTCTAGAACTCCATACCAAGGCCTTGGCCAGGGCTCAGCACTGCCTATCCAGCAGGTATGCCTCTGCATGTCAGACTGTGAGCTGGCATTGACTCTGAAGGGTCCCTTCTGCGTACCCTGTTCCATGGGTCACGGACTGTTGGTGGAGGTCACAACAAGGGCTACACAAAGTGCTGCTGCAGTCTGACAACTGATGGCAAAAATAACTAGTGTTGGATCTGCTCAAACAGAAATGAACTTTTTAGACTTTCCCACTGAAACAAAAGAGGGAACTCTGAACTTTGTTCAACACAAAATATCCTGTGTAGCTTTGGCCACTCCTAAGAAGAACATCCGAACAGGGGCTTGGCTATGCCAGGTCAGCAGTGGCTCTTCCCTATGCCTTGTCCGCTCAAATTCACCGTTGCTCTAGATTCAGAAGCTTGCACACAAGACTGCTCTGGATTCATCCCACTTGGGACCTACCAGAGAGGGAGGATTGGGAGCAGGTTTGAAGCAGAGTAGCCTGACAAGTGAACTCCCAGCTTTGGAGTGCATCAGCTGACTTGGGTGAGTGTGGCTGGCTTAATTTCATTCCCCTTACCATGCTGTATGCTGCCCAGCCCTCCCCAGTTCCTGTATGGATGAGTCATGTTGCCCCCTGGGGGCTGCCCCCAGAGATAATAGCTCTCCTCCTCCTCTGAATGCTCAGAGGTTTCCTTTAGCTCAAGGGCCCAGAGGTGCATGGTTCTAGTGCTCACTCCCTGCATGTGAGAGACTGATATCATAACCATGTCTGTCGCCTGCAGCACCAAGTCAGTGCAGTGCCCTGCCATTATATGCACCAAGCTGCACTGACATACTCTGCACCCTGAATAGCAAAATGCAGCTGGACAGACCAGACCGATGTTTCCCAGCTGTTCCCCTTGGCCTTTGCCTCTGGTCTGTTGGCCAGAGAAGTGGCCAAGACGAAACTTTAAAAGCATCTAAATCAAGCAGAAATATTCTGCAGACTCAAAGGAAGAGAGCTGCTTTCTACTCTCCTGCTTCCTACCTCTCACCATTGGCTGAAGTCAGGGCTTCAGTGAGTCAGGCCCTGAGCCCACATCTAGAGGAGATGGTTCCTTCCTCAGAGCCTAGAACCAAAACAGATATGGTAAATAAAGAAAGGGTATTACCCCACTGGCAGGTGGGGAAATGAAGTTTAGAAAGATCAAGTGATTTGACCAAGGTTGCAAAGGGAGCCCATTGGTGATGCATAGGGGGTGCACGCAGGGGCATGTGCACCCCCTGAGATTAGCGGTGCACCCTATGAGAGAAGTGCTGCCGACGCTCCCAGTGGCACCTGCAGGCGGTCATCAACCACCAGTCAGTGCTTGCCCCCCCACACCCCCCACTGACACTGCTGCAACCGCCTGCGGGAGCTCCCTGCTTGCTGCCGCCACACCACTGCCGCCGCTGCCTGAGGGTGGTCGCTGTGCCCCCCAGCCTCTGGGGGCACACGTCAGTCATGAGGGAGCCTGTATCAGGAATTGAATCCTGGGTACTGATTCCTAGTTGAGTATCTTAACCAGCATACCCTCCTGCCCCCACTATCTACTGTCAATAGAAATTTGTAACATGAAAGCATCACTAAAGATCACCTCCAGGCGTGTCAGTGCAACAGGGCTGTCTGCAGCAGGAGCCTGTAGTGTGCTAATTACACAATGTTACAGGCTGTTCATGAGGTCTGACTGTGGCTAGGGACAGACATTACACAGAAACCAGTTTAAGTGATCAGAAACTTGTTTAAACCTGTAACAGAACAGATATTCATTGCACATAAACCAGTTTGAAAATGGCTGAAACTGGTTTGAGATAAACCTGCTTGAATATAGTATCAGACTTTACTGATTTAGGTCAAACCAGTTTATGCAACATCTGTCCCAGATCCCTTGCTAGTTTAAGCATCCCGGCATGCTCTCTGGGCTGGGCTCGCTGCTCCACAACAGAGCTGGCCCCTCTCCTCTGCTCCCTCACTGGAGCTCTGGCGGAGACTGCAGGTACAGCAGGGTCTGCTTGGCTTCCCCCTTCCCTACCCTCCCTCACTGCTGGCTGCTCAAGCAGGAATCCCCCAGCCCCACGGACTACAGGCATGTGGTATGCTAGCTAATGCTGAGAGGTGTATGTGTGTGTCTCCAATTTCACTGTGACAGGCAGACAGAACAGTGACCATGTAACAGGGAACCCTAGCCCTGTTACTAAGAGACATGACTACCCCTTTAAGACCTGAGACTACAAGATACCCAGAGCTGGGGGCTGCTCAATACGCGAGGAGCAGTTTGCTAGGAAACCTCCAATCATGCCAACCTCCAATCATGGCAGACACGAGAATAGAAGGACAGTGGGTGCAGGCTATCTATGTTAGACACAGGCTTATCCCAGACGGTAGTGCAGAGATACATGTTGCTGAGAAAAGACAGAGAAGTAATAGATCAGAAATCCAGTCGATGTTGGTGCGGGGAGAGTACAGTATGGCAGAGTGTGGGTCACTCTGCAGGTGGGCGATAAAACCTGCCAGATGCTAGTAGAGGTAAGGGAGTAGTCACCCTATCTGCTAATGATAGGTTATGACTGGTCAGAGTTATTGACAGTGATAGCTTGGGAAAGACAGAACAAAGAAGTGGGGAGGCCTAACCCACAGGGAGCAGAAGAGATGAGAAAGCCCTCCCATAGGGGAGAGGAACCAGACAGAGAGACAGTTTGGAAGATTTTGGTCCTGGGCATGACCTAAAACTGCACCCTGCCTGGAGTGGGTGGTCTGGTGGGGCTCCTGGTTGCATGGGAGTCCCCAGGAAATGCCAGGCCAGATACCACCCTGGTGAAAGGCGGGTAAGGGTGCCTCATAACCCCAGCCCAACACCCATGGTTGAAGGATTCATCAGTGAGAGAGACCCTCTCCCGCACAAGGAAGAGGAAAAGCAGGAGGTGGACACCGCCCAAATATGCGATGAAGGCCATTTTCGGTTGGAGCAGAGTCGGGAGGAAGATTTCCGATATGCCTTTCAGGAACATCTGGCTCGACGCAACGGTGAAATATTGCAACTAGAGCTGATGAGGACAACCCTGAAATTTGAGGTGAGGAATCATCTCCTCTATAGAGTTGAGCAGGGGAAAACCAAGGGAGAGGAGATAGTACAGCTACTGATACCCCTGCACTACAGGAGGGCCCTATTGAAGGTCGCCCATGAACTTCCTATGGGCGGACATCTGGGGAGGGACAAAACAGAAGCCTGCATTTGGGAAAGATTTTTTTGGCCAGGATTACTACGTGAAGTAGTGAATTACTATGCTTCATGCCCCACGTGCCAGAGAGTGACCCCTAATCATCCACCAAAAGCTCCCCGGGGCTCCTGCCTTTATTAATTCTGTCAATGGCACTGTTAGCTCCACAAAGTGAGGTACAAACTTCCTATAGTAATTTGCGAGGCCTAAGAAGGCCCTCACCTGTTTCTTTGTTTGGGGTCCTTGGTACTTTCATAGTGCCTCCACTTTGTCCATCAACAGCTTTACTTTTCCACTGCCTACTTGGAATCCGAGGTATCTCATTTTCTCTTTCACAATTGTACATTTTTTTGGATTGGCTGTTAGGCTGGCTTTCTGTAGATCTTGCAGCACTGCCCACAATGCCGTCAGATGTCCAACCCAGTCTGATGTACACACGACAATATTGTCAATATAGGCCACTGCATATCTCCCATAGGGAGCTAATATTTTGTCCATTAAGCGCTGAAATGTTGCAGCGGCTCCGTGAAGTCCAAATGGCATATGCCGGAACTGACACAGACCCCATGGAGTTGTGAAGGCTGTCTTCTCTTGATCTTCTGGGGCTAGGGGGACCTGCCGATAGCCCTTTGTTAAGTCCAATGTGAAGATATAACTAACTTGCCCTATATTCTCCACCATCTCATCAACCCTGGGCATCGGATAGGCATCAAATTTTGCCACCACATTTACCTTCTGAAAGTCAATACGAAGGCGAATCTTTCTATCTGGCTTCAGTACTATGACAATGGGGCTTTGCCAGGCGCTGTGGGATTCTTGTATTATGCCCTGCTCCAACATCATTTCGATTTCTTCTTTTATCTGGCTCTGTAGCTTTTGTGAAATCCACCTCCAGTTTTCACGGATCACTTGACCCAGAGGGCTACCCTGGGCATCTCCCGGAACATGTCCCCGTATTCCTTTACCAGCTTGGCGGCCTGTTGTTTCCATTCTGCTGACAGTCATGGTGACAGCTTTACGTTACCCTTCTTGCCCACTTCCCTCAGTGAGGGTCCCAGTTCTGGCTCATTGGCCACATATGAACCACATGTGAATGGCCACATATAAACACTCTTGTTTT